ATATATATGCTAATCAGATTCATAAAGAGATGTCATACCTCATTGATGTGCTTGTAAGTTTTGATGAGGTCAACAGAGAGTTTCCTCAGTGGAGCACTAGCAGGGTCTCTGAAACTAGGGGGGATCCTCCGTTGGAGTATGGTCATATCAGACAGCACCTAAAGGAAAAAAAAACATAACAGTTTTAAATTATGAATAAACTGAGTTCAGTTACACAGATCAGTTGTAGTTTGTTCAGAACACGTTTGACTCAGACGCTAAAAAAAACTCAGTTTGAGAACAAGTTAGCATGGCTGTTAGCCACAGCAGGATAAGAGCAGAGAAGAAAAGTCTGTGATTCCATGTTTGATTCTGTTTAAATCATGTTTGATTTAATATTTGAACTGAACATAAACTATGACAGAAATTTACTTTTTTTATTATTTTTGCACAAAAACAAACCAAAACAATATTTTAAAATACAGAAATGTCAACATTGATTTTTATAAACTGAAAGGATTCTCTAAATTAAACAAATGGAAACGATGCAGAGGGGGACAAGATCCCTTTTATCCAAGTTTCTGTTAGTTGATGATTTGACAACTGATCATCATATTGACTTGGCTACAACGAGATGATTTTGTTATCATAAAGGAACTCAGTCCTGTTAATTATCTAAATTTTCATATTTCTAAAACAACAGGTTGAGGAGGAGAAGCTATTTGTCAGTCAGGAATAATGATTAACGTTAAGGCAATTATTATTTAGACTACACACCTTTTCATCCACAATAGAACTGAGAAAAAACACTGCTATTTGTTGCTTCATGTTGTCCATCAGGCCCTCATTCTCAGTATATGTATTCCTGATTCTGACATATGGCGTTCAGAGTTGTTTACTCATTTTTCTCATCTTTGAGTTTACACTGATTGATACAAACTCAGAGTCAGTTTAATTATAGCAGATTCTTATCAGAGAATGTTGGAACCAAATTTTAAGAATTTCTGCCATTATTAGTTTCCTCAGTCTTGTCGAGTAATGCAACAGAGAGCAGCAACTTACATTATCTTGTTGATAATTTTACAACTTCAGTGCAAATACAGTATCATGATTATGTGAATGTTTTGCTCGGAGCCCTGAGACAACCTTTTGGGCAGTTGAAACTAGATAGATAAACTGAAGTGAACTAAATTGAATTCTGGTGAGCATGCATAGGATAAGATGTCTTTTCAAGGGAGCTCTGCAGGAATGTAACTATATTATATTTTAATTAACAGTCAAAGTCCACTGCTTGCCACGGCTACATGTTTGAAAAGTTATCAGGACTTATATGGCCAGAGCCATTTTGGAAAATTGCTGAGACTTTGAACAAAAAACAAACCCTGGTCGAAAGAGGCTGCACCTCGAAACCCGAGTCCCCTTAGAAACCGGATGCTAACGATAGTGCATCAAGGTAATGATCAATGACATACGAGCTGAACCTGTCACCAAACTTGAGTCAATAATATCAGAGTTGGTTAAGAAGGAAGTTACAGCTGCTCTAAAACTGCTGGTGGGGGGGAGTTACTCGCAAAGGTGAACAAATTTTGATAGCACAACTAATGAAAATATCAACCAGCTAATTAGCATGCAAGCTAATATGGTAAAACACTTTTTAAAGGTTTTTTTAGTCAACTTTGGGTATGTACTTCTTTAAAAAACAGTCCTAGGACCAAAAAAATGCACCCAGGGTCATATTTACTGTAAGTAAATGTATTTTTAATGTATATTAACGACAAGTTTTATACTTCCGTCATTTTTTGATGTCATAAGCCGTACGACAACCCACCGGAACCTGCGTTCAGCCCCTTATCTAGCAACCCCCGGGTGAGGCTCCACCTCCTCAGTATAAAAAGTCGTCACCGTGTTGTTGTGCAATCGCAGCTCATTTCACAACAAGCCTCCAATAGGGCAATGAGTAGAGAGTTGAACCAGAGAGCAGGAGATCAGGGTTCGAGACTGGCACGGATACAATTTAATTATTTATTTATTTTTGTTCGTTATGAACACGTTTTCTCATGTACCTCTATTGTTTTGCTTATTAAAGCCTTGTTAAAGCCTATTTGTTCGAGTTTCTGAGGTATTTTGACCGCTGCTGCTCCGTGCTCTGGTAACAGCATGCAGAGTGAGCGCAGAGCAGAGGAGGGAGAGGAAAACAAAAAAAGAAGCTGCGACCGACTCTGCCTCTGGGTCTCATATGGTTGTACAACAGAGCTTCTGCTATTATTAGCCATGCTAACGTAAACGCTGGCKTTGGAGGGCGGAGTTAATGTCAACAGATTTTTGGAGGGCGTTACCAACAGAGCTCATTAACATAAACAGCTCTTCTGAACGGGAGTCAGAGCAGGCAGAACTAGAAAATGGGAAATTTTATTATCTGAGAATTATTTTGTGCATTAAATTGAATGAACATGGTCTGGATAGCCCACAGACACACCATAAAAATTTATAGGACCCATAATTGGTCTCCTTTAACTGAACTGAGAGTGGCATCAGTGTTTACTCAAAAAACAGAGGTAATGATTTATATAAATATATAAACTGTATATTCTCTATTTCAAATTGTTAGATGTTTTTTAAGTTTAAAAGAACTATTCTGTCTATGAATGTACCAAAATCAAACCTATTCAGTATATCTGACATAATCATGAAGAATCAGCTGTTTTTAGCATCTCTGCTCATCAGTGCAAATAGTTTTAATGCAACAAGTCTTTCTGCTGTATTTGAAACTGTAACTTTCATCCTTTCTACTCTGCTGTCAGAAAAAAATCCACTTCTACAGTTCCTGACTCATCAAATCAAAGTCAGGATTCTTTATTTGGAGTTTTGGATCAAGCAGAACTGAAGAGACTCCAGTTTTCCCTCACATGAACACCATGACTACTTCAGTTTTATACTTTCTTTCTTTCCTCTTAATGAGATTTCAAAATTTGTTTATTTACAGTATTTATTAGCTGCTGACGATATCAAAAAGTTAATTTTTGCACTCAAAACTAGGAGACAAACAGGTTGTTGTGCTACAAAAAACCTGAGAAAAGCCTTTCTTCAAATCTGTTTTAAAAAAAATGCTAATCAGATTCATACATAAGTACTTATTTTCAATTATCGCTTAAAGATGTTGCATTTACTCACTCATGTAGAAAGGCCTTTTTTTTGATATTCTGAATCATTTAATTTGTGACTAAAAACTAGAGATAAAATCAGGTCATTTGGATTTATGGAACACCACACCAAGGCTGGAGAGAGGTTTAGATGTTTATACTGAATTTGTGCTCAGCTAACTCGGAGACACCAGTCTCTGGTGCATTGTGACTGCAATGCTCCTCCCCTGACTCTCTGGTAGAAGCCAATTTTAAATGTTTATTTATCACAATCAAAACAACCAAACATTGTAAATGTTTTAGCACGATATATTTTGGTTTAGTTGTCCCAGTTGGTGTTTAACACCTTCTGAGTGAACTCTTCACAGAGGTGGGTCAGTATAATCATAATCGGACGAGAACGATCTCATTCATCTCCTTTGTTCCATCCATCCATCCATCCATTTTCTGTACACGCTTCTTCCTTTTCAGGGTCACATGGATCACTGGTGCCCATATCCAGCAGTCACAGTGCGAGGGGCGGGGTACACCCTGGACAGGTCGCAAGTCCATCACAGGGCCATCTCCTTTGTTTTTTTCCATTAATAGTTAGGTGGTTACACAGAATTAACATCAACAGTTTAACCTCTGTGTCCCACTGCGCTCCCAGAACAGAAAGAACAGATGACCTCCAGCCAACGGAGGCATGCCTGTTACCTGCTGCTGCTCGGCCATGGAGTGGATGGAGCTGAAGGAGGGGTGCGTATGTGTGTGCTGGCTGGTCATGGCTGGCTCAGCGAGGGAGAAGCCCTGGGCAGTGGAGGAGGAGGAGGAGGAGGAGGAGGTGGAGGAGAAGGAGGAGGAGGTGGGCGGACATCCTGAGCTGCTTACACCTGTGGAGAGGAAACAGATAAAAATAATCAAAAACCCCAAATTTTAAGTTTTCTCTTTTTGCTCCATGTTCATCACATCACATTACTCTCTTAATCATCTTAACCATCAGACTGATCATTCATTCTCAATGGTCCTTGGGTCATGGTGGAGTTAAAGTAATTATCTTTAAAGTAATTATCTTTAAATCAAACTTGGACTGTAAACAGCTTCCATTCAGGTTTCTTCCTCCAGCTTTGAATTGAGTCTTTTGAACTAAGTCAGTCTTGTGCTCTGCTGTGCACAGAGGGCTATCGTCGCCCTCCCAAGTATAAAAAGTATTTAAAGGGATTTTCTTACATTTTGGCCGAACCTATGTCAACATGACATATTTTAATTATTGCAGCTTTTAATATTCACATTTGTTGTGCTGAGAAGCCTTTAGTGAGGATCATAGACCATAGAATGTGTTTCGCTTGTCAACCCTCTGAACCGTCCCCCAGAGTTCTGTCATATTATTCAACGCTCCACTGACACTGGTTCTGCCAGTGTTTTTGAACTATGAAATGATCCAGCAGACCTTGGTGTCTCCCATTAACGAGGAACTAACTTTTCAGTTTCATTCAGTTTGTTTAATTATTTTACAACTGTTTGGCTACAAACGAAAATCAGATATCTCAAGCCCAGACCAGAGCCATGAGTAAAAGATGATACCTGTACTATAGTACTACTAGGCAGTAGTACAGGAAGGCAAAGGAAAGGTGGATAAAGAACAGGGTGAAGGTTTGTTTTGAAAAGCTGAGTGTTTGGCATTTTGATCACAAAGTTGTAAAAGCTGCAAGGTGAAATGTTTTCTCTGACGTTATCGTCACCAACTTCACACAACCACTAATTCTTTATACTACGAGCTCAGTTTTAATCTCAATGAGCCCGGCCCACTGGGAACTTCATGTGAACTTTGTGTTATGCTTCTTTTCTTCCTTTTGAAAAAAAAAAAGGTTTAAATATTCAGGGCTTAATTTTTTCACTAGCTCATCTTCTATCCAGTCTCTGTGTTGGACCACTTTGGGTCTATAGCTCCTTTTACAAGACATTTCCACGATCATGGCGCCAAGCCTTGCTCGGCTAAATGCTGGTCCGTTCATTCATGAAACAAGTAATAAGCCGGCCACATCCCGCCCTCAATGGAGCGTTCACAAATTCTTTTACGGAGAGGGAAGTTCGGAGGCATGAAAAAAAAACAGCTGTGATTACGTATTGCTTACGTATTAAACTTGGGACCGCTGACGTGGGTGTAAACAGTAGCAAACATGGCGACGCTAGCGGCTATCCTGGTGGTTCTGCGAATGCTTTTGCTAAATATGACGATGCAGCTGAAATCGCTTGAGTCACAATTTCTTGAATGTGACGCTAAATCAGACATGAACACGAATGAATTGAGACGACGCAGGAGGAAACGACGTTTCGCATTTTTGCTTTTTAATTGAGCTGAAAGACGAGTTTGGAAGACGGCGCGACCGCAAGGTGCTGTGTTTTGGACCRCGGTACTGCACAACTTCTCAGATGATGACTGGAGAGCACACTTCCGTATGTCAAGATCAACATTTGACCTAGTGTTCTAGCATATTAGGGCTGCCACAAACGATTATTTTTATAATCGATTAATCACTGATTATTTATTCGATTAGTCGACTAATCGGATCATATGCTAATTGAATATAAAACATAGAGCTTATCACGTCAGAATGCAGCTGCTATATAACCATCGTTAGATTTTAGCTATATGCTAACTAAAAAGTAACTGCTGTGGAAGGCAAGTTCTGCTCTGCCGATATTGCACATGTTTCTCTTTCATTTTCTTAAAATGATCCCACACTTTTGAGCTCCGTTGCTGGGTAGCCATGATACCAGAGCCTGTATAATGTAGTCTGTGTAATGTCTTGTGACGTCCACGGCCTACCCCAGTTACCACTATTGTGCATGTGTGTCAAGGACAGAAAGGCAGATGTGGCAGTGGAAGGTGTCAAAGCAGTTTGGAGAGAAAAACAAAGAACAACAACAAAAAAAAAGAAAACAATTAATCGATTATTAAATTAGTTACTATTAAATCGAAAAATTAGTTATTACATCGATTATTTTAGTAATCGATTAGTCGTCGACTAATCGACTAATCGTGGCAGCCCTATGCTCCAGTGGTTCAGGTCTTACCTCTGTGCTTGAAGTTCAAAATGCTGCTGCTTGGTTTTTAACTTTTACAGACAAAAGTAAACACACTATTCTAGTTTTGGCTTTCCTTCATTGGCTTCCAGTCCACTTATGTAGTCATTTAAAAATAATTTAATGTTTTTAATTCTATTAACATTTATGATTTTGGTTGGTCTTGTTGCTGTTTTTTATTATTAAAAGTGGTATGATATGCTATAAATATAACAGTATTTGTTAAAAAGAAATAGTTAACACTTATAAGACAGTTGTTAACATGGGTCATGCTGCTGAGTTAACTTCAACTACTCCCTCCAACAGACAGTTGTACTAATAAAGTCTAAAACTTCCATCATTTTCCCTGTGCCTAAGAAAGTATCTGTAATCTGCTTCGCAAAGACATCAATGATCAACATCACATTAAAGCCAACCTCCCAGGATCATCTTCAGTTTGCTTATTGTACCAAACAGTCTGCAGATGATGCATTCATACACCCTGCCCTGCTCAGACTAAAAACTCTGGACTTCCTGTCAGAAAAACATCAGGCAGTTTGTGTCAGCTGTAACACGTCACACTCCATCACATTTAGCATAGGGGTTCCTCAGGGGTCGACATAACCATTGTTTAGGTTGTCCGAGACAACCTATTTTCGTTTCGGACAACCAGATCCCGCCTCCCAGTTGTCCGGTGGACAACCAAGAAAAAAGCTCGTTCGTCATTGTAAAAATGAACGGGAGAAAAAAAAAAACTTGTTAAAGCCATCTAGGGATTAAACTGACGGTTCTTTCACCTAATAAAGAGAACCACAGTCAAAGTTTTACCCAATCAGAACGGAGCAGGGCGGGTCATGCTGTTTGACTAACACCGCTGCCTTTTTTCTTTCTCTGTGGGTGGGGGGTCAGCTTCACACGCTGAGGGCTTTCCCGGGAGGTGTTCACCTGAGCTATTTTCCACTGAGAATTACTTCGTATTTTATATACATTATATTTCTAAAAACGCCTCACAGCATTTCTCCTGTAACACCGTGTGTTTACGAGCGCAACAAAACCGCGACAGATCACCTGACTGGTTTTAAAGCGAGGGCTGAGAGGAAGTTTGACCGCAGCCGCTGCACCTCTTCACGCGCACCGCGGCCCCGATCGGCCCGGGACTTCAGAGTCCACAAGTCAACCCCTTCAGATATTTACGTGTATAATGAGCATCACAAATCAGTAATTTTTACAAAAAACTCAGTATTAATCACACGCGAGTGGGGTGTGCAAGCGGACCACAGCCGCACAGGTTGTGTGTGTGTGTGGGCGGGGGGGTGTGTACGTTTGACTGATTTTCCTCTAAAATCACAGAGTTCTCTGAGTCAGCTTCAGGTGCTTGTAGTTAATCATAATATCTTCTAAATTTAACCAGGTGTATCAATGCCTTTACATTACACAACAATTATAGTGGAGAAACTTGTCAGTTTGGTTAAAAAAAGTATTTTTTCTATGCAGAGAACTTCTTGTGCTATAATTTTTTTTTTAAATAAATATATCAAAGCTCCTCAGTTGAAACACTAAAATGACAGAAGAGATGTTTAAATCCCCTTTATCCAGAAAGTTTTCAGTCCTAAGAACACTAAACTGTAGCTTTAATAAGGTCATGTAGACAGTAGGCTATACTACTATTTAAATTAAAATGTTTGTCCTGTAAGCAGGAAGCTTATGGTCGTTGGATGTTGATTTTTGCTCTCTATTTCAAAGAAGAGGATGAGGAGGAGTTTTACTCAAGTAGCTCCTGAAACTGTTAACCTGCTGACTGAGAACATTTGTATACAGTAAACTTTGTGTACAGAACAATATAGCCTACCTATTAAATTACATTTTAATTGAGTTTTTTTTTTTTGGACAACCAAAATGTTTTGCGGACAAGCAGATTTTGTCAACAGGTTGTCCAGCGGACAACCTGAAAAAAATACTTATGTCTACCCCTAAAATCTCAGTCCTTTGCTCTTCACACAGCTGACACAAACAAGTTGATTAAATGTGCTGATGATACAACAGTGGGACATTATCAGCAGTGATGATGAAACAGCTTGTAGAGCAAAGGTGGAGCAGTTAGAGAGCTGATGTGGAGACAATCTATCTCCTAATATCAACAAAATAAGAGAGATGAATGTATATTTTAGGGAAAATGCTGATTAACTCTGCATGTAAAAGTTCATAAAGACTAGATGGATAAAAATTTTCTGTTTGGTTAATTATAGTTCTTTGCGAGAAATCAGTACCACAAAAATCAAAAGGAAAGAGCTGTACATGACTTGGAAATAAACACTGGCCCACAAATTAGTAGAAGTGTCCCAATTTGATGTTGTTCCGATATCATCTTAAAAACAAGTATTGGATTATATCACCTTGCATTTAATTTCTGATATAAGCACGCAAATACAAGCAGTCCATTTCAGTAGTCTGCTCCGATGGATCCTTTTCTGCCCATCCTGTCCCATAATGCATTGCGGGCCGACCGGAGACTTTTTCTGCTCGTAACGGCAGATGAAGTGAGAGAAAGGAGTACCGGTACATTTTTTAATAAAAATCTGGCGGTATTAAAAATGAAAAGTTTCAAGCGGTTGTGTTGTTAATGCTTTTGTTATTTGTATAGACATGTTTTTTTAATAGTCTTTTCAAAAATCAAATGAGCTGGTATAGCCAAATAAAAGTGCATGTACGTCCCTTAGTTCTTTAAATCAGAGCTAAATTAAGCTAGATAAGAAATGTAATTTAGGCTGATTTAAATTTTGGGGCGGCTGTGGATGTGGATAGCTAAATTAAGCTAATTTTGTTGTTT